GTACTTAATCCTCAGGTTTTCGTTGTTTGAAATATCTCCTGCTTCGATCAAGTATCTCGCCACATGTTCGACAGTAGATTCTGTCGTGTCCCCAGAGAATTTAGTGAACTTAGGGACTTTACATCTAGGAGGTAAGTCTGTTTGTAACACGTATTCTGACAGTGGGGATGTGAAGTTGGGCCTACGAAAGCCCATGTTCATCCCACTCTGCGTCATGATTCTTTCGATCATGGCTGCCAGATTATTTTCCAAACCCATGTTTTGGTATTGGATGTGCTGAACCACTTCGTCAGCATTTTGGTTTCTGTTAACTAACCTCACCTCTGGGGATATAACCCTAGGTTCTTTGACAGGCTGCTCCAATCGTGCCCTGAGGTTTTCTTCGACAGGTTGCTGGACTTGGTTGATAATGGTTTCTTCCTCTAAGAGTATACCTTGGTTTCCCCTTATTTGCGCCCTTTGGGGTTGTCGAATAGGTTGGGGTACCCCAAAGAAATCAGCCAAACGCGTCATTTGCACCGTCATCTGCTGATTCGACTGGGTGGTGTTTTGTATTAGAGGATTCAGCATTGTACTTAAAGTTTGTGCCAACATTTGAACCATATCATCGTTGCTCTCGTCCATTTGTTGCCTCAAGACTGTTGTCGAGGCATTTGTAAGACCATGTGCTACTTGGGACGTTCCTCCTAGGAGTTGGGTCCTATTTCTGTTCGCCATACCTACTCCAGAACCTTGGAGTGGCGAAGAGGCAGTCACTAAAGGGTCTGAAAAAGTGGACGCAGCGTTCGTCAGGTTAGCCAATTCAGAAGTTGGCATGCCATAGAGTGGTTCTCGATTTTGACCGCCTGTCATAAATCCTGGGGGAACATAAGGCCTTGTGCCTAGATTTCCCCTTGGTGGGGGAGTTCCTAAAGGCACTTTGGGGCCAGTGAACGGAGGTAATGGCCCCGTCGTTGTGACCGTTACTGCTGGTTTTGAACCAGCAGTTATCGCTTCACTTACGGTTGGGATTACCGTTGTTCCCATGTTCGTTTGTGGGATTTCGTTATTGTTTGGCGGATTCGCCATCTCTTCTCTTCTTCTGGCAGTATTGATATTGTTAGTGTATGTTCTACCACTTCTCAATAACATGCAATACTTCTCGAAAAAGATGATATTCTGTATAAAAAGGTTAAACTTCAAAATCAACACACAGTCCCACCAGGTGTGCCAATTTGTTTACCGTGGGAATTGGTAAACAACCGCTGATCTTCCAAAAGGTTACTTATTTGGTGACTCGCAGGATCGATCAGATTGATCCTAAGACATGGTTTATTTTGGGGTTTTGACTAAGTTTGATAATGATTAAATGACAAAAAATAAAGAAGCTTTACGTAAATTGCATGAAGAAGAGAACTTGATAAAATAAAGGAAGGCTTGAAATAAAGGCTTTCGACTGGAAAAGTAAAGGAGAAAGCAAGTAAAGTTTCTGGAAAATAAATGACTTTGATTAATAAAGTGGTGTTTCACACATACATTCTCAACAATTCTTTCTCTCACGTTGGGTACTCGAATCTATATGAGTGACTTGTATATAATTGTGAACACACGCGAAAAACTGCGTGAACTACTAATATTTATACTAAACACATCCCAAGTAACCATCGGGCAGTTACACTGCTTCGAGATGACTCCACTTGGCACGTTCATAGCGTTCGACGCTCCAGATCTTGGCACGTTGCACTTGGTAACCGCTAGGAACCGTTTTCCCTCCAAACGTTTGAATCTCAAACCGTTCCACTCTGAACAATCGAACACCTTCGTCGAGAAGCACCTTCGACGAGAAACACCTTCGACGTCGAAGGCAACCAAATTCTCCCTTGGAAGAAATTCTCTAAGTACATTGCCATCTTCTGACGAGCACTTCGACAGAACCAGCTGGTCGAAACCATCCTTCAGCTTTAATGGCTTATATTAATAAAAACAAGGGTGTCGAATTTAGGAGCCAACACCTAGATATACAATGTTCCCAAATCGAAGGAGTGCACCGTACACCATCATTCCTCTACTGCCAGATGCTGGCCAATCCAGATCCAGTGCCCTCAATATGCAGTCCATCATGCACTTTCGACAACCTCCCTCATTGGATCGAAAGGCAACCTGGGTCTCTTCTTGATTTGGGCCTGCGTTTTGCAAACTATACCCCCTATATCTCTTTTGCTATCAGGCCCATTTTCATATTTCTTTTATTTATTTGTCTTAATTATTTATTTCTTTTAATCGTCTTTTTAATAACAATATAAAAGTAGAAAAAATTAATAAAAAATTTAGTTTTAGGTTTTTTTATTAAATTAATTTTTGTAAATTAATTAATAATTATTTCACCATTTTATTTAATTTAAAATTAAATAGATTTAGGTTAATTCACTTTCTTTGCATAATAAAAATTCCAAAAAAAATTAGGTTTGTTTAGAATTATTTTCAATTAATAACTTTTCTTTTCTTTCAATTAACTAGTCTAATTTTAATATTTTCCAAATAAAACAAAATAACACAAAAATATTTTCTTTTGACTTATTAATTTTTAGGGTTTAGACATCATTTCCATTACGCGCACATTTATTTGCTTTTACACTTTTTCATATTATTGTAACTGCCTACTGGGATGTAATAGACAATAACTAGGATTTTTACTTTAATGCTTTATTCTCCCCAAGTATTGGACTTGTAAGTAATCCCCTCCCCGAAGCTTTGTGATAGTTAGGTTTTACGTTTCCACACTTTAAATTCCTGCAAACTATTAACTGTTTAGATGTATGCTAATTAGGATTGTATGGCAAGAGTAATAATCAAACGCTAGCAAACCTAACACAAGACAAAAATAACTAAACACAATACACTCTCACATATACACCTCTAGGGTATCCCACTTTGGTTGCCTTCGGAAAAAACAATCACATCTCTCGAAACGTGAGAGATTTTAGTGGCTATCCTCCGGTTTAAAGATCATTAGTCCCTCGATGACCCTCTCGAAATTTCCTCGATATGATCTTAAAAACCCTAGGGTAGTTACTAAAGTTTCTTGCCCAGTTTCCTTTGTGACTGTTAAAAGTCCCTTCGAATGTCCCTCAAACATCCAACGGCTAGGGCTACCTACTCACTAATAGTAGGATAACAATGTCTAAAGGAAAAGAGGAAAAGAACAACCTTTAGAGTAAAGTAGATAGCTGTTAGATGCTTGCTCAAACAATTTTTACACTTACACAAAACTTCTTTCGAAAAAATTTTCAAACACTTTGTATACGTTCTCTACCATTCAGAGAAACATTACAAAGTTCGCCGCACTAAGTCGCTTTCAAAAATACTTTTCAAAAACACACAAAGCACAAGGTATTTCAAAATGAGTTAAGCATCTAAGAGCCCGTAGATAACTACGAATGGAAAGGGTGCTAACACCTTCCCTTTCTATAATCTACCCCCTTACTCATAAATAATCTCAAAATGTCTTTTTCTGTTCTTTTCACCCTTTCCTTTGTTGGTAAAAAGAAAAGTCGGTGGCGACTCTTGCTTACTGCAACATTTGTGAATACAAATGCAAAACCAGTATAACATTCAGTTCTCCCACCGTATTACAATTAGCATTTAAGAATCTACGATGGCCGAGAAATACATTCTTTGCGAGTCATACTTTTGATATTGAGTCATACATTTGTTTCTATTTGAAAATACTTGTTAATCATTATTCTTAGCAATTACTTTTGTTTCTTTAGGTTGATTGATTCTTGTTTGAGGACAAACGAGTCTAAATTGGAGAGAGTTTGATGAGTGCTAAATTATTGTGAATTTGAGTGTGAATAATTAACACTCATCGGCTTAATTTGTTTGCTTTTCGTCAACAAACCTCAACTTTAGTGTATATTTGGTATAGTTTATGTTATAATGTATATATTGCATTATCATGTAAATATCATTGCGTTTGATTATTTTTTATCTCATTTTTGTAGTTATTCAAGTAATGATATTTAGTCATTGTAATATAGAGCATTGAATGAGCTTTCCAACACTTCTGATCAGCGTAAATCAGAGTTACGATTCTCAAGTCATGGCGAAAATAAGAAATGATTTTTCTCCTTGCTGTCAAGTGCGCTAAGCGGGCTTCTGCAAGTGCCTAATCAATTAGATAAAGGGAAAACAAGTCTATAATCGTTTAATAAGTGCCTAATAAATTAGATAATGGAAATGACTCTATTTCAAAACCTTCCAAATTAGGTTAAATCAATATGTTATTTCCATGATTTTGTGATTGACTAAATTTTGTTAAAACATGATTCTTACTAATGTTGAGAAAGATGTTATAATATCTTGACCAACTTTCATGGAAGGATCTGCTGTCATGCTATTTTGCAGATGTCAAACTAGATGTTCTGACATCATGGTCTGTTATACAGTAGTGGCTGTTGTGTATTTTCACTACGCCAAAAATAAGTTTTAGCAGCACATAAATGAAAGCGCTTTTGGAAAAAAGTGCTGCTGTAGGTTTTAAAAAAAATTCGTTTAAAAAGCGCTTTCAAAGGGTGCCTTAAGAAAGCGCTTTTCAAAAGCGCTTCTAAAGGTCACCCTTAGAAAGCGCTGCTAAAGTTGGCCTTTCAGAGGGTACCTTAAGAAAGCGCTTTTCAAAAGTGCTGCTAAAGGTCAGCCTTAGAAAGCGCTTTTCCAAAGCGCTGCTAAAGCTGGCCTTTAGAAAGCGCTTTTAAAAGCGCTGCTATAGGATATGCTACGAAAGTGCTTTTCGATGTAAAAGCGCTGTTATAGATGACCTTTAGAAATATTTTTTAAAAGAGCTTTCATAGGTAGTTTTATAATAAATATCAAAACACAATTCGTATCACTTTTCTATTCTCAGTCAGATTTTCTTCACGAAAAAACCCTAAACCAGAGCTTCAAACGAGAATTCTCATATGAGCGTACAAATCCTAATTCCAAGTTCTGATTACAGCAGAAACACCCTAATATCAACGAGAATGTGGAGTGAGTTACCGCAAGACATCGTTGAATCAATCTCCAAAAAGTTTAGAATATATTTCGATTATCTCCGATTCCGATGTGTGTGTCGCAGATGAAGACTCTGTGTCCCTAAAACCCCTCTCCATCTACCAACTCAACTCCCATGGCTCATGCTTGCTCACAATTCTTGTTTTGAGGTCTCAGCCAATAAAATCCATCAACTCAATCTGGCTCCATATTCATCTCCTGGAACTGTTGTCTGCGGTTCTTCTCATGGCTGGCTTTCCATTCTCGACGAAACCTCAGATCTTCGTCTTGTTAACCTTATTACACTCTCCACAATACCACTTCCTAAACTTCCAGTTACAATTAGAATGGGTTTACAGCATAAAATCATGTGTGTTATCAAAGTTGTTTTGTCATCTAGCCCCTCCCTTAGTATGGGTTTGCAGCATAACAAGATTTATGTGACTAGTTAAATACTGTTGAATTGGTGTTATGTCTTAGCATTGCAAGAACTAGTATTTTTTTCAAACACAGAAACATGTTTATTTATTTTCTATCATTGTTCTAATGTTACTGTTTCATTCGGTCCTTCCCATTTTTAGTCTTTCATTCTGTCCTTCACATTCTTAGTCTTATAATGCAGATATAGTTGTTAGTCCTATATCACATATTTGTCACAAAATGATATATATTTTGGGCGAAATCTGTTTGCAATATTGCAATTTTACAATAGAGAGCAAATGGTTTGAATATGAGACTCTTGCATTTTCTGATTTGAATGAAAAGGATAACCAAATGTGATTGGTTCCCATACACCAAATAGTAAACTCCTCTAATTTTTTTAGTATATTATTTTATTACAAATGTATACTTCTTGAAGTTGATTTTCTTAACCTGTAAGGATAATAGGACCTATGCTTCAAACGATAATGGCACAGATACATACGATTATGATTGAGTTGAAGAGATTGCAGAAGCGCTTGAACAAGATCTTAATGATTGTCCCAAAATGTTCGAGAGGTTGGTAATCAACTGTCAGCATAAATTTCCCGAGGTAATTTTCAATATATATCCGTTATTATTATAGAATATTTTTTGTCACTTCTAACGGTTATTATTGGTTTAGGGCATTTCATCTTGCCAGCTATACCTATCGTCGCCGACTTATCGACTAGTTGGCAAGGGAAAAGTCCATAACACTTTAGGAGATTTACTTCACCATAGACCGCTTCCGGATGGACACATGAAAGTATGGGTTGATATTGCTTTAGATATGGATACGTTGCTGCCGGTACCTGACATTGTTGCTGAGACCACATTACTGCGAGATGCAATAGGATATTTTGTTGCATGGCCATCGGACCTCATTTTCATAGATGATAAGGTATGTTGAAAACCATTATGAATCTTTAAGTCTTCAACTGTCAGTTCTGACCTCAGTTATTTCCACGGTAATTATAGACTCCTACAAAACCCGCATCTAAGGGTAAAGGGATTTTGCGGCACGACAAGTCTGATGTATCACAAAAAGAGGTACGTTTAAAGTGTTAATTATATGATCCGAATAAAAAACTGCATAATTTTATAATTTAACTGAGTCTATATGATTTTTAGGTACCTTTTCAAGGGTCACAACAAGTGAGCCAGAAAATCGTTGGCGTACCACCCAAGAAAAGGGTTCCTACTAGATTTTTCCCTCGATATCGGCAGTGTCTTGAAACAATAGTGGGAACAACAAATTTGATGGATGATGGTATTCATCAAATGGATATGGATCAAGGTATCTTTGGTTTTCCTTACACCGAAATAATTGGACATGAGGACGTGGAAGATATTTTTCGTCATAAAGAATTAGGCGTCAGTATTATGCACGCATACATCCGGTAACCCCATCTTTATATTATGTAATTAGCTGCAATTTTTTTTAAACATTTCAATGAATATAGTCTATATTAATTATGTTTTTATTTAAGGTTGTTATATGACAAATTGATGCGCGGGAATCAATTGTCAAGCAGATTCCATTTCGTGTCTTCCTCCCGTGTCAGCGGAGCGACAATTGGTAGGGAACCAGATTCAGTAAGAGAGCACTTAGTCGAAAGATTCATGGCAACTGGCAGTACAGAAAGCTTATATCTTTGGGTGTATAATACTATTCCTACAGGGTTAGATTTTCATTCTAAGTTCATTTTAATATTTGTAATTTTTGCATAGAAAATTTTCTTCTAAACTGTTATTTTAATTTATAGATGTTACTGGTTGTTGGTTGCTATCGATCCTATAAAAGAAGTGGTCTATTATCTGAATTCGGTTGACAGTGATTGGACAAATTATCCAGATATGAAGTTAATGATTGATACGTAAGTGAGATTATTCTAAATATTTGTGTGTATTTATATATTTAATTATTTCTATGACATTGTTCTAAATATATATTTTTATTTTGTTAGAGCGATACAAGTATTCCGGTATCAAAGAGAAGCTTGGGTACGACGGTCTAAATCAAACAACATTAATTGGATCAAAGTGCAGGTATATTAATTTCCACTATTTTGCTTATAATATTTATGCTATTTGATAAAACAATACAACTATATATTCTTATTTGTTTTTCTATGTAGTGTCCTCAACAACAAAACGGTATAGATTGCGGATACTTCGTTATGCGGTTTATCAAAGAAATCCTTCAACTGAATCAAATAGAGATTCCAGTCACAGTATGGATTTATAACTTAGGATTTGTTTTATTATTTCTCGGATATTTCATATAACTTTTTTACTTTTAACTAAATCATGCATATTATGTTTTGTTATGTAGTACTTCGATGAATACAAATGTGCATATTACACGAAACTTCAGTTGGAAGAAATCAAAGAGGAATTCTGTCAATATTTTATTAAGCAGAGAATCATATAAGGTATGAATACATTATTATGTGAAAAGTGTTATGAATACGTTACATGTGTACATGGAATACCATATTGACCGTGTTATTATGTTCAAACCTCGTAGGACCAGGACCTTAATACATAATTGACCGTGTTTCTTTCATACATTAGGACTGGTTTAGTTGTTGTTAGGGTTGATTTTGTAAGACTGATTTTGAGTTACAATGTTGATAACAATGGTTTTTATATATTTTGAGGTATAAAAATGGTGTATATATATTTTCAATTACAATGGTATACAATGCATTACCGCGGTTTATGAATTACAGGTTATGGCAACTGGTTTATATAAATAATATGCTGCAAACAATGCAGGTATATGAATTATATAAATTATACCTCTAAAAAAACACCCTATGAAAGTGTTTTTTCAAGAAAAACGCTGCCTTAGGTAACCTATGAAAGCGTTTTTTCACAAAAAGCGCTGTCTAAGGTAAACATATGACAGCGCTTTTCCAGGAAAAAGCGCTGCTAAAAGACCACATATGAAAGCGCTTTTCCAGAAAAAAGCGTTGCTAAAAGCCTACCTAAGACAACACTTTTCTAGAAAAAAGCGCTGCCTTAGGTAGACCTATGAAAGCACTTCTTCATAAAAAAGCGCTGCCAAAAGCCTACTTAAGAGAGCGCTTTTTAGAAAAAGTGTTGTATTAGGTATACCTACGAAAGCGCTTTTCATTAAACAAAAAGCGCTGCTAAAACCTATAGCAGCGCCACCTTAGAAAGCGCTTTCGTAAGTCTTTTTTGGCGTAGTGTTTCTTGACTGATTTGATTTTTTGAGATTCCTTTTGGATATATCTCAGTTATTTTCGTAGGTCAAGAAGATGTAATCTGGAACAAGTGAATTAAATCTCCAACAGCATTAACGTTTCGAAATTTGGTGGTTGAGAAAATTTAGGATACTTGAAGATTTGTTCCAAAATTTAAGGAGGGATTTTCTTCCAAGTTTGGTTTCCCCCAGATGTAGGTGATATTGCAATGAACTGGATTAGCAATTGACTGTGTTCTTTATCATTTTGCATATTATTTCAGTTTGATATCGTTGTTCAGTCTGTGTAGATATGTTGTAACATCTGTCTTGACATTATTTTCTAATGTTGGATACACTATGCCATATAAGGGAATAAACATCGCATTTTTGCAATAGACAACGCTTAAAAGCGCTGTCTATTCTTGCGCTGTTGTAAGTAAAGACATTGTTTTTTGTCAACGTAAAAGTGCTGCTTAATGTAGCCTTTAGAAAACGCTTTATTCAATAAGCGCTTTCTAAAGGTCTTTACAGGCAGCACTTTTTTACATTAGAAGCGCTTCTAAAGTGTGCCTATAGCAGCGCTTTCACTTCAGACAACGCTTTTAAAAGCGTTGTGTAATGTATATTTTTGTTCACTTTTTTATGTTTTAGACAACGCTTTATTTAAAAACGCTTTCTAAAGTCCCTTTTAGGCAGCACTTTGTACTTCACAAGTGCATTTGTATGCACCCCTTTAGACAGCGCTTTCTCTAAAAACGCTTTATATTCCCCAATATAGGCAACACTTTTTTGTTTAAAGCGTTGTCTAATGTTCACGGGTTTTTTAATATACACAACTTATATTTTAAGCACCCTGTACAAATAATTACTTAAAATTTAAGCGATGTCTTTCAAATATACACCAGATTTCATAAATTTGCAGCTTTAATCCAATAAGTATGCACCAACTTTACATATTTATATATACAACTTTAATCCAAAAATTTATATATACATAAATGGGATACAACTTGAAGAATTCAATAATTTATACATACATAAATTTACATATTTATATATACAACTTTATAATCCAATAAGTATGCACCAAATGTACATATTACTATCTTCTAGAGTTGTTATCTTCTCTACTATCTTTTCTACAAACAACAACAATGAAGAATCGTACATGAACTTGTTATCTCTATACCTTCTATATATGCACCTACCTGAAACAAAATCAACAAAGTCATATCAGAATCAAGCTATATAACACTTAAATATTATAACTATTATAATTTAACACAAATCAATGTAACAAAAACAAATCAAGAGTATGTTATAATCCACCATTAAAAATTCCCTAACTCATACCATGATACAAACAAAACTTTATTTGAATTTAAATCCAATATCATCCTAACTAACCTTCCACATAACAACAAAAATATTGAAACATAATTTACCACACTAATGACGACATAGTATCTCATCAAAACTCAAACCTATATATACTCAAAATTCTTATCAATAAAAGTGTCACAATACCTTATAAAATTCTCATCTCAATAATGTATTGAGACCAATCCTCCTTAATTTCTTCCAATTGATCTTTCAAGTAAGTAGAAGACTTGTATTCATCAAAGTACTACATAATATAACATAATATGATTTAGTTAAAACTAATTAATTAGATGAAATGTGTTAAATATATTAAAATAAATCATAAGTTAGAAACTCATACCATGGTTGGAATCTCTATTTGATTCAAAAGAATAATTTCTTTCATAAACCTCA